GGCCCAAAAACTTCATAGTTTTGTCGTACATTTTGCATTCATCCAGTAATCCCTTACTTAACTGTGATTGGTGGAATAAGATGTAACGTCATCAAATTACAGCCAATAGGAGTACAGAGCAATCAGTCAGCACAACACCCCAACTTATGCTTTGCTGTTGGATATTTATTCTCGTTTCACTACTTAAATTCTGGGAGATATGACGTTAAATAAATACACCGCCCATCGCATTTTCAGTATTTTTGCCTCATTTACACACAATTGCAGGGTCTCAATTCTTTCTCTTATTATTGGCAACACAACATACAGACTGTCGTTTCTCACTATTGATTGATTTTTTTCATTTTTGTATTTATTTATTTATTATTATTATTATTATTATTATTATTATTATTATTATTATTATTATTATTATTATTATAATATTTCGTCCCCCAGGCCCTGATATGGGTCAGTGACCTGTGCCCGGGTGGGATAATCCCCGTAAAAAATAAATAAAATGAATAAATATATAAATAAATAAATAAATAAATAAATAAATAAATAAATACACCGACAATCGCATTTTCAGTATCATTGCATCCTGGGTAATGAAAAGTAGAATAAATATCCAACAGCAAAACATAAGCTGGGATTTGTGCTGACTGACTGCTCTGTTCTCCCATTGGCTGTAATTTGGAGGAGATACAGTTTAGTCCGCCAATTACAGTTAAGCAAGGGATTGCTGGAGGTATGCAATATGTACAACACCACGACCAAGCAAGTTATAGGGCTCCTGGGATGGGGCGCCACCACCACTGCGAGGACCCCTGGGGTGCCGCCGCCTCTGGGAGGGCCCGTAGGGCACTGCGGCTCCTGATAGGTACCCTGGGGGTGCCGCCGCCCCTGGGCGTGCAAACGCCCCTTGGAGAGCCCCTGGGTGTGCAGCTGGGAGGTCCTTTTTGGGCATCCGCCCCCCAGAAGGGGTGCTGCCGCCGCAGGGGGACCATAGGAGGGTCCCGGCCGCCCCTAGGAGGGCCCTTGGGGACCTCACCGCCCCTGGGAGGGCCCATTGGTGCCCTTGGAAGGACCCCCTGCGTTTGCCGTCGCCCGTGGGAGGGCCCCTGGGCAGACCCTGTATATGCCGACATCCTTGAGAGAGCCCTGGGAACCTCGCCACCACTGGGAGGGCCCCTGGGATCGCTGCCGCCCTTGGGAGGGTCTCTGGGTTCGCTGCCGTCCCTGGGAGAGCCCCTGGGGGTACTGGCGCACTTGGGAGGGTTCTAGTGAGCGTGGCCACATCTGTGAGGATCTTTGGGAGTGCCGCTGGTCTAGTGAAGGCCCCTGGAGGCCCAGCTGTCACTGGGATGGCCCCTTGGGACGTAGCTGCCTCTGGGAGGGCCACTGGTGGCCTCACCGCCCCTTGCAGGGGCCCTGGTGCCCTTGGAAGGATTCCAGGACTTCCCGTCACCCCCGGGAGGGCCCTTGGGGACGCCGCTGCCCCTGGGAGGGCCTCTGGGGGCGCCACTGCTCTTGCAAGGGCCCCTGGCGGCGGCGCCGCCCCTGGGATGGCCCCTGTGGGCACTGTATCTCCTTGAAGGTCTCCTGGGGGCACTACTGTACCTCGCTGTCGTCCCTGGGTGGATCCCTGGGGGAAACGCAAATCGCTGGGAGGGCTCCTGGGGTTGTTGCCGCCCCTGGGAGAGCACCTGTTGATGCTGGCGCCCCTGGGAGGTCCACTGGGGTCGCCGCCACGCCTGGAAGTTCTCATTGGTGGCGCTACTGCACCTACCAGGTCTCCTGGGGGCAGTTGTTTATGCACTATTTAGAACTATGAGAGATATGACGTGAAATAAATACACCGCCAATCGCATATCCAGTAGTAGTATCATTGCATCCTGAACAATGAAAAGGAGAATAAATATCCAACAGGAAAACATAAGTTGGGGTGTTGTGCTGACTGACTGCTCTGTTCTCCTATTGGCTGTAATTTGGTGGATGTACAGTTTAGTCCACCAATCACAGCTAAGTAAGGGATTACTGGACGTATGCAATATGTACAACACCACGACCAAGCAAGCTATAGGGCTTCTGGGAGGGGGCGCCCCTGGTAGTGCCTCTGGGAGGGTCCCTGATGACGTACACACCCCTAGGGAAGTCGCCGCCTGTGGGGGGAGGGGGGCCTCTGGGTGCGCTGCAACCACTGGGAGGACCCCTGGAGGCGCCGCCACCATTCGGAGTACCCTAGGGCTCCGCAGCCCTAGTGGAGGTCCCCTGGGGGTGCCGCTGCCCCTGGGAACTCCTCTGCCCCTAAGGAGGGCCCCTGGGAGGTCCCTTGGGGGTGCCCGTCACCCCTGGGGATGCTGTCTCCCCTGGGAGGGTCTTTTGGGCACTGCCACATCTGGGGGTTTCCCCTAGAAGGACCCATGGGAGGGTCCCGATCGCCCCTAAGAGGGCACAATGTGTAATTGCTCGAAACAAGGCTAATATAGTACATAAGAACATAATAAATTAAGGAGTCTGCAATAGGCTGGTTGGCCTGTGCATGGCAACTCCTGTCGAGAGTTACTACCACTCTCTATCATCCATGAATCTATCTAGCCTCAATTTGAAACTTTCCAGCGTTCCAGCACTTACTACAAAGTTGCTAAGCCTGTTCGACTCGTCCACCACCCTATTTGTGAACCAGTTCCTTCCCATCTCCCTCCTAAACCTAAACTTATCCAACTTAAATCCGTTGCTACGAGTCCTATCCTGCTCGAATATTATAAGAACTTTATCTATATCTCCTTTATTGATTCCTTTCACCCACTTAAATTCTTGTATCATATCTCCCTGCACTCTTCGTCTTTCTAGAGAATGTAACTTTAGTTTCTTTAACCTATCCTGATATGGAAGGTTTCTAAGTCCCGGAATCATTTTCGTCATTCTTCGCTGCACCGACTCTAGTGAATTGATATCCATTCTATAATAAGGGCACCAGAACTGAACCGCATAATCGAGGTGCGGCCTGACTAGCGCAAGATATAGTTGCAATAAGACCTCTGCACTCTCATTACTTACACTTCTAGATATAAAACCTAATACTCTGTTTGACTTATTTCGAACATTAACACACTGTTTTCTAAGCCGTAGGTCCGGGCGTACAAGTACCCATAAGTCTCTTTCACAAGTCTACTTCTTGTGTTCATACAAAGGAGTGTTAGTTACAAGACTAGCGAGGTCATCCTAAAACAATATCTTGAGCTTGTGAGACCTCGCTTGGATTACACAGTTCAATTCTGGTCATCGTATTACAGAATGGATATAGAATCCAAGAAAGAATTCAGAGCAGAATGTCAAGACTAATCCTGGGCATTAGGAACCTTGAGCGCAGAGACATGTTAAAGCATCTTAATTTGCACTCCCTCGAGAGACGTAGAGTGAGGGGCGACATAATCGAGGTGCATAAATGGAAGTCGGGGCTAAACAAAGGTGATATAACAAAGGTACTCAAGCTATCCAACCAGGAGCGAACTCGTAACAATGATTTTAAATTAGACAAATTTAGATTTAGGCGTGAAATAGGTAAACATTGGTTTGGAAATAGAGTAGTGGACAATTGGAACACGTTAGCAAACATCATCATTAACTCGAATATGCTGGATAGCTTCAAACACAGGTTGGATGGATATATGAGCGATAGGGACTGCCCAGTATGGGCCAATAGGCCCGCTGCAGCTTCCTCCAGTCTTATGTTCTGAGTTGCCCATCCTTACTCAGCTGATGACCAGGTCTGGGGTGATTCCTCCTGTCCACCTCTTGAGTTACACTTGATACTTGTTTACATACACTTCAAGCGTTGGACTTACAGTACATCTAGTCTCAAACTCAACATCTTCAACTGCCGTTTTGGGTAACTAACAACACTTCCCCTCGCCTCCAGTTTCCCCTGATCCCACACCACAGCAATACTGAACAGGATAAGAAATAAAATATCTTAGAGGTACATTTTATTAACCACAAAAAAAATCAAAATACTAGACATAATTAGGACACTACTACAAGGTGTTACGCTAGTGAAGGATACTCACCCCTGCCTACGACTGCACATAACCAGGATAGTAACCTCTAAACTTGGCTAACATAAGGACCATAACTATCTTGTCTTAACCAGCTTTGTGTTATATCAATTTTATGCGTGTACAATTTCGTGTCTGGTTGAACCTGCTGGCCGGCGGCGTCTGAGTACAGCGTAACGTTCTTATTAGAAGCGGCATCAAGACCTCGCACCATACAGCCTCACCATCATGTGCGGCATTCAAATAATGCGTAGAGTCCATACTAGACTTAAAATCCGGCCAAACAGTCATGCCCGGCTAAACAGTCATGTCCGGCCAAACGGTAATGTCCGGCCATAGAGTAATGTCCGGCCAAACGGTAATGTCCGGCCATAGAGTAATGTCCGGCCAAACAGTAATGTCCGGCCAAACAGTAATGTTCAGCCAAACAGTAATTTTCAGTCAAACAGTAATGTCCAAGCAATCGTAGCGTCCGAATTATTGAGAGTATCTAAAAGGTAGACATTGTGCAACTAGTAACAATGTGCAGAAGATTAAGAGTTACGAGAGGGAAGAGGAACAGTGACAGGCACTGCTAGACAACATGCAGGAAGGTCACATGACACTCCCACCACTCATGGGTAATGCTCGTCAAGGCAAAAGCTGGGTAGGTCTGGCACGTGAGGCCAGTTACATGACTGAACATTTGATGTGTTAGGAACAATTCTTGTTTAAAACAAGATCACTACAAACTGGCTATGCATAGTAATATAAATAATAAAAGTTTACTGTTACTTCTAAACAAAAACTATTGTTACTATTAGCCATTTCTAAGAGAACTCTACCAACTCGCCAGGTGTAACAACTAGTACAGTAAAAGACTTCAGTACTGTACTTAACAAGGCGCCTAGTGGACGTACACACGAACACGTTATCCTCACACAGGACAAACAACAAATCACCCACAATTAACTAAACTGCTAATAATCAACAACAAAATTCTAAACCTTTATATCAGAATCATTAACTTAGGGCGCGTCAGTATGGAGTTTCTCCGTTTCCTTTACGGTTTTAATTTCTCTTATTATTATTTATAGAGAAGATGTTTACATTCTATAACTGTTGGCTAAATTAACTTAGTCTACTTCCCGTCACCTTTGGCCCCTAAGACAAATAGGACTAGTTCTTCTTGGAGAGGAACCCTATATGACATCACAGCTACTGTAGTTGAAGGATAGTGGGAATATTCCTCACTAAAGACGACAGTTATCTACTAACAAGTGTTGGTGTTATCCAGAAGGCACTAAATAATCCCTGTAGCAGCTGGTGGCTCCCTGCTGCGGTCCTGACGCCTACCTCACTCACCCGCCGTCAAGCACCTGAGGACTGGCTGACACAACACCACGACACTCTACCACTTGGCCTCCTGTTGGACAAACTGTTCTCCTGAGACAGGGAAATAAAGAGGCTGCAGCAGTGAGAAACTAAAGTGTCATTAAGTTGTGCAGTATATTCAGCAAGCTTGAGGATGGTAAGATTTTAATTAATAATTTACAACTCTGTGCCCAGCCAAGACACCACCTCCAGATGTACTCTCTGTCCAGCTTGCTTCAAGAGACTGACAGCTGAGGCGTGGCGCACCTGTTCCAGTGAGTGACCATCGACGGAAAGAAGTCTATCGCCACAACGCAGCTTACCATCTATAGCAGCTGGGGACGACTGAACCACGAAGAGGACGTGGATGGGTTCAGCACCACGCTGGGGGTCAGACCCACCAACTATGCTGAAGCCAAGGGAAGCACCAGGAGCCCGGTGAAGCACAACGCTCTTAGATACATGCAAGGAACGTGGCAACTTTTGCCAGTACAACCAAGATGGCACAAAATTGGCTGAGCCCAGCGACGTCTCAGGACCATCCAGCAGGGAAAGTGTGACTCCCGCCAGCTCCGCAGTGGCCTTCAGCAGTGCTACTGCCTGTCCGTGGGTCAGCCCCAATAGCGACTGTCCATTCACTGACAGCAACACGTCGCCCTTCTGTCAACGAGAAACATTATTTTGTTACTGTGCCCCGGTGCTAAAGTATATAATTATGCATTTATCATTTATTCTGCTTCCTCCCTTATGTTAACAGAACTTGGTGACCACAGCCCTACATAATGTTAACAGTACTTGGTGACCACAGCCCTACATAATGTCAACAGTACTTGGTGACCACAGCCCTACATAATGTTAACAGTACTTGGTGACCACAGCCCTACATAATGTCAACAGTACTTGGTGACCACAGCCCTAATGTTAACAGTACTTGTTGACCACAGCCCTACATAATGTTAACAGTACTTGGTGACCACAGCCCTACATAATGTTAACAGTACATAATGTTAACAGTACTTGGTGACCACAGCCCTACATAATGTTAACAGTTGGTGACCACAGCCCTTGGTGACCACAGCCCTACATAATGTTAACAGTACTTGGTGACCACAGCCCTACATAATGTTAACAGTACTTGGTGACCACAGCCCTACATAATGTTAACAGTACTTGGTGACCACAGCCCTACATAATGTTAACAGTACTTGGTGACCACAGCCCTACATAATGTTAACAGAACTTGGTGACCACAGCCCTACATAATGTTAACAGAACTTGGTGACCACAGCCCTACATAATGTTAACAGTACTTGGTGACCACAGCCCTACATAATGTTAACAGTACTTGGTGACCACAGCCCTACATAATGTTAACAGTACTTGGTGACCACAGCCCTACATAATGTTAACTTTGACCACAGCCCTACATAATGTTAACAGAACTTGGTGACCACAGCCCTACATAATGTTAGAACTTGGTGAACAGCCCTACATATCAACAGTACTTGGTGACCACAGCCCTACATAATCAACAGTACTTGGTGACCACAGCCCTACATAATGTTAACAGCACTTGGTGACCACAGCCCTACATAATGTTAACAGCACTTGGTGACCACAGCCCCATAATGTCAACAGTACTTGGTGACCACAGCCCCACATAATGTCAACAGTAATGACCACAGCCCTACATAATGTTAACAGTACTTGGTGACCACAGCCCTACATAATGTCAACAGTACTTGGTGACCACAGCCCCACATAATGTCAACAGTACTTGGTGACCACAGCCCTAATGTTAACATACCATGTTAACAGAACTTGGTGACCACAGCCCATACATAATGTCAACAGTACTTGGTGACCACAGCCCTACATAATGTCAACAGTACTTGGTGACCACAGCCCTACATAATGTTAACAGAACTTCGTGACCACAGCCCTACATAATGTTAACAGAACTTGGTGACCACAGCCCTACATAATGTTTACAGAACTTGGTGACCACAGCCCTACATAATGTCAACAGTACTTGGTGACCACAGCCCTACATAATGTTTACAGAACTTGGTGACCACAGCCCTACATAATGTCAACAGTACTTGGTGACCACAGCCCTACATAATAACCAAGACAACAGTATAGGTTTCATAGACTTACCTTGACCTGTTTCGACTTGCCGACGGGGCCCTGAGGGTTGATGTTGGCTATGTAGATGGGAGTATCGCCCTCGTTGCTACCCACACCGCCGCCTATCCTCATGCCCAGGCTCTCATTCCCGCCCTGCAACACCGAGACAACTGTAGTGACAAATCTATGACAGTTAACAGCAAGTACAGGATATGAATCTGCAGTACCACCAGCTTACGCTTCTTTTGTTATGGTCCACAAGATTTCAGTTCATGCTTTTCTTACGAGTGTTTTATGATATCTGTAGTCAACTTTACTGAACATTTTGTGTATATTAAGGAAATACAAGTCTGATTACGTGTGTTTAAATGTTATGTTTATTGTGGTGGATAGTTTTTGTAATCACTGTAGCCAACTTTACTGAGCATCTGGTGTATGCTAAATAGAGAAAATCATTGAGTTACAGATAACGTGTCTCTTAATGTCGTCGTTCATCGTGGTGACTCACTTTGGAGATGGTGACAGTCTTCTGGTGGAGTTGGGTGCTCTCGATGCGTAGTGACCGCCGGAAACCATGCACCAAGTCAGACATGTCGCTGGAGTCCCTTGATCGACGACCTCTCATACGACTGCTGGTAGACCCGTCAGCAGTATCCACACCCGGGCCTCCCCCAGACAGGGCCGACCCGACGCTCTGCACTGAAACATCCAAATTCGGTGTTTCTTTCAGTTTCTCACGCAGGCTGTCACTGGCGTTGTCTGGTGGGTCGAGTTGGTCGCTGGAGCGGGTTCTTGCCAGTGCGTGACGGTGGCGTGGTGGCAGCGCTGGCGGCCCACCTTCCTCCTCCACCGTGGTGGGTCCTCCTCCCCTCACTGCTGATGATGCCAAACTGCCAGAACTTTGGTTAAGTGGTATACCCATCGATCCAAGTGATCCGTTGCTTTGGTAATGTGTGTTGACGCCATTCAGGGAACCAAGTGACCCACTGTAGGGTTCTCCGGGTGTACTGAGTGACCCGTTCGAGTGGAGCAGTGACCCTTCCCTCCGAGTCACTGAACCACGGTCGTCTAGAGATTCGCACGAGGCAGAGAGACCCACGTCATCAACGCTGCCACCAATGTCGTCCTCTAAGCCATCGGTCACATCCCCTAAGCTCTTGTTGATGTCCTTGCCGTGACAGTCGAGGCGAGGAACGAGACGGTCAGGAGCCGACTTGGTGCGCCAGTGATGAACGGGAAGAGACGGATCAGGACGGCGGAAGAGGTGCTGGTACTCTGGTGGGGGACCTGACGAGTCCACCACACTGGTAGCGGCTCCACGACTTACCACCAGACTCACGTGGTGGCGGGTCTGCTGTATGAGGCGAGAGGCGTGGTCAAGGCGGGCATAACGCACGTCGGCACCGTTGATGGCCAGGATACGGTCGTGTGGGTGGAGGCGGCCATCCTGAGCAGCCACAGAGCCCTCCAGCACCTCCATGACGAAGATGCCAGGCTCGGTGCGGCGCCCTCCCAACTTCAGACCCAACTGTCTGCTGCTCTCCTTCTGCAGCGTCACCATCATCGCCTCACCTGGTAAAAGAAACGACATAAGTTGCCTCCTGTAGTCCATATAATACCATTCAACTGTCTTAACCCTTTGGAGGAGGATGTTTTAACCCTTTGATGACAATTAACCCCTTCAGGATGATGGTTTAACCCTTTAAAGATAGGAAGAAACTGGATAAATGGAGAACACATAACAAAATATAAAATAAATAAACATAATTAAAAAACGTGGCAACTACATATCTATTCACTAACACCATTTAATTAGTCAAACAGATGTTAATATATTTATTCTATAATATTCCTGTGATAAATGTTTACCAGTTACACCTTCAAGAGAGCTAAATAAACGGTTTCAATTTAGGGGTTTGTAGAAACGGAAGCTGGGGGAAATTAGGGGAGTCACCAGGCTGGGGGAGATGAGGGAAGGGTTTACTAGGCTGGGGGGAGACGATGATAAAGAGGGGGGTGACGATACTGAGGGAGGTAATGATAAGGGGACAAATGACCAGAACTGGGGATGATAATGAAGAAAGGGTTGACCAGCTTGGGGGAGATGCAGGGGAGGACTTATCTGGCCGAGGGACGTGTATGGTAGCTGGGGGAGGACTTACCTGGCTGGGGGACGTGTGTGGTAGCTGGGGGAGCTGGAGGGGTGGTAGACGACAAGGTTCTCTGTGCCTCAATCCTCTCCCTATACACCCCGAGCCTGAGCACAGTCTGGGGCCGCCTCAGCGCCTGGCACACCACCTGGTGAGTGGCCGAGGTCATGTCCACACCGTCTACCTCAATAATCTGGTCACCGGGCTGTAGGCGGCCATCCTGGGCCACTAACCCATCCGGGAACACCTCCTGGACCACCACACAACGCTGTCGAGGGGCGAGTGTGTGTTAGTCACGTCATCAGTGGTGTATAAATGTTACAATGTACTACAGACACAAAGCTTTACATTATGTCTCTGATACGGATAACAAAGTCTATAACAAGGCAGGTATAACAAGTAGAACAAAGTAATATAACAATGTAGGTATAACAAGAATTAACTTATATCATTATTTATTGCAGATGCTTCAACACTTCCTATATGGATATCAGACTGACCCCCCACATGACCTGTCTTACCAAGGGCGTGTCTGACCCGCCGACGATGGTGATGCCGAGGGCCGTATGCGTCCTGGGAATCTCGAGGTGTGTAATTTCTCCCTCAACGATGGGCGGCCGAGACACTCCTGGGGATAAAAAGAGGAAACCCAAAAAAGGTCATTTCTTGAAGCTTAACAGGAGGTTGTAATGAGGTGTGGCAAGGCGGTCGACTTTAACTAACTAATTGGTGTTTTTTTATGTAGTTTGTACTGTATGTGTATGTTTGTTTGTTTATTTAGCTATTTAGTATAATATAACTGTTTTTTTAAACCAGCAGTAAACCTATCCTATCCACACTGAAACTAACCTAACCTAATCTGATTTAATCTTACTTAACCTATCTTAACCACAATGAACCTAACCTAATCTAACGTGACTTGACCTAACTTAATCTATCCTATCTTAACGAGGTTGGATCCGGCCAGGTCAGGTCAGGTCAGGTCAGGTTAGGTTAGGAGTGTTTTACAAGAAGTACATTATAACGCAGCTAAACAAAATTTGGAGAGAAATGCTGATCATAACAATTACCTCCCTCCTTCAGGTAACCTGCCCGCCACTATCACCACGAACCACCACGAAGAACATAAGGATGGAGGAAACTGCAGCGGGCCCATTTACACCCAACCCCTATCGCTCATATATCCACCCAACCTATGTTTGAAGCTATCCAGCGTGTTCGAGTTAATGATGATATTTGGTAACTTGTTCCACTCATCCACTACTCTATTTCCAAACCAATGTTTACCTATTTCGCCCCTAAATCTAAATTTGTCTAATTAAAAATCATTGTTACGAGTTCGCTCCTGGTTGGATAGTTTGAGTACCTTTGTAAAAACATGTCCCCTTTGTTCAGCCCTGACTTCGATTTATACACCTCTATCATGTCGCCCCTCGCTCTACGTCTCTCGAGGGAGTGCAAATTAAAGTGCTTTAACCTGCCTCTGTACTCAAGGTTCCTAATGCCCGGGATTAGTCTTGTCATTCTCCTCTGAATTCCTTCTTGGGATTCTATATCCATTCTGTAATGCGGTGACCAGAATTGAACTGCGTAATCCAAGTGAGGTCTCACAAGCGCAAGATATAGTTTTAGGATAACCTCGCTAGTCTTGTAACTTTGTATGAACCCAAGCACTTTATTAGCCTTGTTTCGAGCAAATACACATTGTTTACTTGGCTTAAGATTCCTACTTATCATTACTCCAAAATCTTTTTCGCAGTCGGATTTCTCTATAACATCGTTGTTCATCTGATATCTGGTTTCTCGGTTTACATCTCCTAGACGAAGTACTTTACAACCACCGCTACCACCCACACTACCACCATTACCCCCCACCACCACTACCACCATCCACTAGTCACCACAGGGGCCCACCAGATACTCGATAAAAGCAATATTCTTTTTTATTAGGAAAATGGGAAACGCGTGTCAGCGATTGACAAGTGGAGACTCAGGACATTACTGCAATAACCTGTAACTTTACTGCAATAACCTGTAAATCACTGCAATAACCTGTAAATCACTACAATACGTAAATCACTGCAATAAACTTCATATCCTTCCAATACTGAACCATTACAGTAATACCTTGTCTACGTCATCCCAATTATTGTGTAATTTTACCAGAGAGTCTTGGTGTAATTTTGACGCCATCTTGAACCTCAACTCAGTACCATATCTCCTTCACGAAATTCAACTTCCGGAAGGAAAGTGGGAGGTAGGGGAGGGGGGGAGGTAGGAGGGAGGGGGGAAGGAAGGTGGGAGGGAGAGGAGGAAGGTGGGAGGGAGGTGAGGGGGAGGGGGTGGGAGGAGGAGGGAAGAGGCAAGGAAGAAGGGAGGGGTGGGAGGAGGAGAGAGGGAAACAAGGAAGAAGGAGAGGGTGTGGGAGGGAGAAAGGTGGAAAGAGGTTGAATCAGTTGAGGCGGGCCCCTTCTCAGCGTGACCAGCGTACTGAGTCAGGGATGGAGGAGGAGGAGGAGGAGGAGGAGAAGAGGAGGAGGAGGAGGAGGAGGAAGGAGGAGGAGGAGGAGGAGAGGAGGAAGACACCCACTTACCTTAACTTTTAATTCACTCTCAACACCAACAAGGCGATAGTACCTCCTTGGGTCCCCCTCTCATTAAAGCACCTCCCAGCTCCACCACCTTGCCTCGCCTCACCTCACCTCCTCCACCGCCTCACCTCACCTTGCCTCGCCTCACCTCACCTTGCCTCGCCTCACCTCGCCTCACCTCGCCTTGCCTCACCTCACCTTGCCTCACCTAAAGACATCATGTTTCCCCTGGCCTGACGTTACCTGGTTGCAACTCTTCCTCACCCCCTCACCTATCCCTCTCTTCCTCTCTCTCCCCACCTTCCTCCACCCTCACCTACACCCTGACCTCCCCATCACCTACACCCCTACCTTCCCTCTACCTCTTCCTACACCCTTACCTCCTCTATCCCCATCCCTCCCCACCTCCCCTCCACCCACCACCCCAACCCCTCACAACCTCACTTCCCAGCTGTCCCTCCTCCTGCCCTCACCCAGTCCTCTACTTCACCCCCTCCCCCTCCCCTCTTCACCCCCTCTCCCTCCCTCCTTCACTCCCTCCCTCCCTCTCATTCACCAACTTGTCTCAGGTGTGTAAAAAAAAATCTCTTGAGGAGAGAGAGAGAGAGAGAGAGAGAGATAACATCAGAGATATTTCGTACGTCAAAATAATAATCTTCTTGAATAATACTATAAAAATAAAAATTACCAGTGGACATACATACATACATACATACGTACATACATACATACATACATACATACATACTATAAATGACAAAAATGACGTCCAATATGGCGTCAACAATGCACTGAGACTGTAACCTTACCTACTTACGTTCACTCGGCACCAGAGAGAACAGCAATAATAGGTTAGTTTAGGTTAGGTTAGGTTAGGTTAGGTTAGGTTAGGTTAGGTTAGGTTAGGTGGACATATTAACTTTCACAGTACAATAAAATGGTACCAAGATCGTTCTTAGACTCTCCCTCCCTCCCTCACTCAATCCTTCCCTCCCTCTCTCACTCCATCCCTCCCTCACTCAATCCTTCCCTCTCTCTCTCTCACTCCTTCCCTCCCTCACTCACTCAATCCCTCCCACACTCCCTTCTCTCCCTCCCACACTCCCTTCTCTCCCTCCCACACTCCCTTCTCTCCCTCCCACACTCCCTTCTCTCCCTCCCACACTCCCTTCTCTCCCTCCCTTTGGAATAATGTAAACACAGCCGTCCCAGCCAGTCAGGGAAGCTTATCTTTCCTTCACTTCACTGTTGATGCTTCTCTTATACTTCCTCATATCCTCCTTCTCTTCTCTTCTCTCATTTCCCCTTCCTCTTCTTCCCTTCTCTCATCTCCCTTTCCTCCTCTTCTATTCTCTCATTTCCCCCTTTCTCCTCTTTTTTCTCTTGTCTTTTGTAGTCTTCTCTTCTTTTCTCTCCTCTCCACTTCTCTTCTCTTTCTCTCCCTTTCTTAACGTACACCTCTTCCCTGATCTATCCTTCTCTCTCTCTCTCTCTCTCTCTCTCTCTCTCTCTCTCTCTCTCTCTCTCTCTCTCTCTGAAATATATTGAGAAGACTTGCATGAAACAGCTCAAAGCGGATCTGAAACTTACTGATATACATTTCACATTACATATACAATCATTCGTAGCTTATGTACACTTTAATATTCGACAGACAGACAGACAGACAGACAGACAGACAGATAAACAAACACACCAACTGACAGACAGACAGACAGATAAAATAAAGACAAAAACATATAAAACAGACAGACACAAACATACAAAACAAACACCAACGTAACCACAACACTCTTCATCTTCTGCGTCACAAAACCTTTCCACACACTTCGTCAGGTCAAAACCCCTCGTCAGGATAGAATCAAACTACGCCTCACCCCTCCTCCCTCCCCTCACCTCAGTTTACCTTCAGCGTTTCATTACCTGGCTCAGTGTTTACCTGGGGATACACACTGAATATTATTACCCCCCCCTCCGAGTTGATCTCACACACATATACACACTGTACACCCTGAATACACCCAGTCTGTGTACATGGCTTTCTCACACAAGCCTATATTAGATTGGGGACACCTACACATTATACAAACAGGCTCATCTCATCTGCCCCTCCTTCCTAGCTTATTACACCTGAATATTAATCATTCTAATGCTAAACTAAAGTAACTTAACCTAACTTTACTTAAACTAACCTAACACTAATCTAACCTAACCTAACACTAATCTACTATACCATAACCTAACGCTAACCTAACACTAACCTAACCTAACACTAACCTATCATAACCTAACACTAATCTAACCTACCCTAACCTTACTTAAGCATAAAAGCATAAGAACGGAGGAAACTGCAGCGTGTCTATTGATCCATACTAACCCAGCTGAAAATAACACTACCCTACCCTACCCTACCCTACCCTACCCAACCCTACCCTACCCTACCCTACCCTACCCTACCCAACCCTACCCAACCCTACCCTACCCCACCCTACCCTAACCTAACCTACTCCCCAGGCAGCGTTAAATGTATTTGATCATGAAGTGAAATAAGCTGGGGTGGCTTATCTTCAGGTGATCCGTATTGCGTTGGGTTGGGTTGGGTTGGGTTGGGTTGGGTTGGGTTGGGTAAGTTAGATAAAGAATTATCCCAACTCCTATAATTTATGGAAGAAAGTCAACCGACCTCTATAACTTAAAATACAAAGTCAATCCAGCTTCTATAACTCATCCCCGAGTTATATCCGCCTCTATAATAACAGGAGAGAGAGAGAGTTAATGCAGCCTCTGTCATCTATACAGGTGAAACAGGTAATTCATGTCAGCTTCCCCACCAGCTTAGCGTGGATCAATGTACTGGTGGATCGTAATACACCGAGCAATGAACCCTGCCTGGTCCCCGTGGTGCCAGGCGGAGAGAAGAGAGAGAGAGAGAGAAGAGGATAGATGGATGGAGAGAAAGAAGATAGGAGGATGAGAGAAAATGGGAAGAAAAAAAGAAAGAAAGGAAGGAAAGAGAAAGGACAGAAACACACACACACACACACACACACACACACACACACACACACACACACACACACGTCACTGGCCGGGCCCAACACTGACCACAAGCAGGTGTAACATCAAAGCCTCAGTATCAGCATCCCGTCAGAGCCTGGGGAGACAGGAGGCTCTTGGCGTCTGGGTAATTATTAGCAGGGAAGATCCTCCGCTGTCAACACCTCTCTCTCTCTCTCTCTCTCTCTCTCTCTCTCTCTCTCTCTCTCTCTCTCTCTCTCTCTGTCTCTCTCTCTCTCTCTCACTTTCTTTCTGTATCTTTCTTTTCTCTTTGTCCTTTCTTTGTCTCCATGACTCTCTCCCCCCTCTCTCTATCGTTTCTTACTGTCCATTGCTGTACTTAAAAACATACAAGTCAAAATCATGAACTCTGATCTAGAAGAACTGAGAAATGCCGAGACCTGGCAGTTGTAACATTAGTATATATGACAAATTTTGTGACAAGAGGTACCGGTATGGCCAGAATTAGGCTAGGATACAGACACCTCTGGCAAGTTAGTGACGCTGTACCCATACCGGAACACTCAGCATGTAAACTTTGTGATAAACCTTTAAAGCATACACTTGAACACTATATTATTGAATGTGATACTGTCAAAGACTTCATGCCACCTGGCTTATGTAATTACTACATTGAATCAGGAGTGTTTGAGGACATTCTTGCTGTCTATCAAAAATTTGCTGCTGGTCCACACTGATCAGTCCTCAAATAGAAAATGACTTCTACTGTATATGAACCTCTGTCCTGCGTGGCAGTGAGAAGTGATACCACCCTCAGTGTCAAGACCTGACTGAATTACTCACAATAGACAAACTGTACAACAAGCTTTGCCAATAAATTTGTTAACCGTTAAATATTCTCCATGGTTCTAAGCCTTCTTCCCATTCATCCTTCTTTTCTTTCGTCCCTTTCGTCTCATTTTCTAACTCCTCTTCTCCTTCTTCTCCTCCTCCCCATCCTCTTCTCCATTCACATATACTCACTTCCCTTTTCCTTCTTCCCAAACGTCATCCCCTCTAACTCCTCGCCTCTCCTTCAATCCCCCTCCTCCTTTCCCACATCCCCTCCCCACCCCTCCCCACCCCCTCCTACCCCCTCCTCACCCCTCCCCCCACACCCCCTCCTACCCCCTCCTCACCCCTCCCCCACGTCCCCTCCTCACCACCGTAATCCCATCAATTCATCAATATTAAATTCGATGATCGTGTAATTCAATGTAAATACAGAAGTGAGGAAGTCTGGGGGTGGGGGTGGGGGTGGGGGTGGTGGTGGTGGTAACAGTGATGGTGGTGGTGGTGGGTAGTGAAGAGAGTGAAGAGCCTCCATTAATGACTTCCAAGAACTCTACTGCTCTCTCTCTCTCTCTCTCTCTCTCTCTCACTCTCTCTCTGCATTTTCATTCCTTTCTCTCCTTCCCATCCCCGCCCTTACCCCTCCATACCATTATTCTACCTTCTTTCCTATCACCTCACCCCCATCCTTCCCTCCCTCCCATTACCCTCTCCTCACCCACCTCACCCCCATTCTCTATCCTTCCTCCTTTCCCCACCACACCCATCTACCCCTTGTCCTGGAGGCCAATAACAAATGTCTTGTTTTGGAAAATCTTTGTGGAGAGTTAAGAAAAATGATGACAGGGCCTCTTGTCTTATACACACACACACACACACCCACACACACACACCCACACACACACACACACACACCCACACACACACACACACACACACACACTTTTAGTTATTTAATTTCGTTTACTTTAAGACAAACAACATTACAGGTTGAGATACAAATAAATATCCAAACACAAAATACAGGTACAAACACAGGTACAGGGCAGGTACAGTGATCACTAAACCGTACATATACACACAGTCATAACACGTCACTTGGTTCCTGTACTGTACACATACTAACTTAATCATCTCAATTCTCTTCAATAAATCACGGTACGTATCTTATACTCTTCGTTATATAGGTATACTGCGCTGGTGTATAGGGCCATAGTGGGATTTTGTTAATATATAGCAGAAAATAAAAGACTAGGAGACAGTATGGTGGGGTCTTATATATACCAATAGGAGATTTTGTTGATTTTGTTTACATTCTCCGTTTTCTATGTTGTTGGTGGAGGAGAAACTTAACCAAACTCATTCAGGCTGTGTGTGTGTGTTAGGTGGAGCCTTTATATATCTTAAGTAAGTGGTTTTTGTAATTTATTAACTTGAATTTTTTTTCCCTGACCATATTTATTGAGGAAAATTTTTTGCCCGGATTTGTTAATTATGGAAAAATTTATATAAACAATTAAAAGGTTTTAATTTATTATGTTTATCAACAAACAGATCACTTGTGTCCGTCTAAATGGTGTCATTGGCGGTGACCCTTTGATATGTGATGCTGTAAACCTATCACCTCACCTCTCACCTCCCAACCATCTCCTGTCAGTGGCGGTCATAACTCCCGTCACCTCACACGTCTATATGCCGTCTGTTTGGTGGTTCCTTTAAAATGTTGATAATCTGACAGACAGACTAGAGACAGGGTGTTGACTTAATATAGAGATAAATTACCTGTACCCGAACTAGATCACTAATTTGGTATACTCATAAAACTCGGCCCGTTTATACCACGACTGTGTAGGGGTGAGTTGGTCTTGGCAGGAGTCGACCTGATGGGGAAGGCAATGAGGTGATGGGACTCGGTGATGAGCGTTAGGTTAGGTTAGGTTAGGTTAGGTTAAGTGAGGAAGCATAAGGAAACCTAAAATGACTCATTTTGATAAAGGTGTAATGAAAATGTGGAGGGTGACCAACCATACAGATGTTTAATAATAATAATAATAATAATAATAATAATAATAATAATAATAATAATAATAATAATAATAATAATAATAATAATAATAATAATAATAATAATAAACACGACCACCAACCTGCTCAACTATATGTAAACATAACTCATGAGCCAATCAGCTGACTGCCACCTCGGAGTCAGCTGATGCCAGACCCAGGCAATGTAAACAAAGAATAATTAGCATACGAACAGACCCCCCCCCTCCGCCACACACATACACAAACAAACATCCAAACAAGATGAAAATAACTGATGAAAGCTGCCCAGCACAAACAAACCTTTATAAGACAAACAAACGCGGATAATGTCAATAAACATGGGAGCAGGGGAAGAGAGGAGCATAAATAAATATTCATTAGTAAGCAACAGAGGGAAGAAATTTTTTATATATATAGAGCAGAAATGGAGTGTTATTTCCTGGTGGTGGGAGGAGGAGGAGGAGGAAGGCGAGGAGAAAGAAGAGAAAGAGGAAGACAAGCAGGGGGAGGAAAAGGCAAAGAGGAAGAGGAAAACAAAGAGGATAAGGGCAAGAAGGAGGAGGACGGAGATAAAGAGGATGAGGAGGACAACGAAGATGACGAGGAGAAGGAGGAGACTTGATGATTGTAGGGAGGACGGCAGCTCAGAGAGTGTGTGTGTGTGTGTGTGTGTGTGTGTGTGTGTGGAGTGTCAGTGACGTAGTAGTGATCAACAACAACTCATTAGCGATCATTAGCAGCTCATTAGCGAAGAAGAACTGTCCTAAGGGTTCATGGTTCGAGAGAGAGAGAGAGAGAGAGAGAGAGAGAGAGACTACACTCCTGGACACCTGCTGAGCTAATTAGCTGTACAGGTGTATAGGCCATAAGGTGTCCTCAAAAGTCCCACCCCCTCTGTTTACGCCTTCCGTGCATATCATCAGCTGATACTGTACACTAATGGCGGCAACAGGTAGTAGTCATCTGTTTACTCATTGTCTGTACCTATAGTAAGCATTTCTTATATCCTCCATCATCCTGCGCTCCTCCACGCCGTCCTGCGCTCCTCCACGCCATCCTGCGCTCCTCCACGCCGTCCTGCGCTCCTCCACGCCGTCCTACGCTCCCCTAAGTCATCCTACGCTCCCCCACGCCATCCTGCGCTCCTCCACGTCATCCTACGCTCCTACATCCTTCTACCCACCATTCTATTCTCCTACACATCATCCAACGCCACCTCTCTACCACCTCCTCAATCCTCCTCAGGCGAAATCAAATCCTCTTACTACTTACTCATATATTTCGTCAAACACTCCAGCTACTGAATATACTTCGGTAATCGCTATACTAAATATATGTCAGCAACAACTCTATATCAGGAGACAAAACAGACAAACTGCACTGTCAACAAGATGCAATGACCTCAATTACAACTAAGTCGCCTCTTGTGTTTTGACCCGTAAGGTAAACACGACCCAGGACGGACGCGTGGCCAATCACATCGCCTCCCACCAATGTATGAATGATTTTGATTGGTCGCGATAACTCATCTTGACCCCCCTAGCGAGAGAACTTAACGAACTCGTAAAAGGAGGTACTACTACTACTACTACTGCTGGGGTACTCACCGTGGTCCTTGTAAGTACAGGTCGTCAGGTGGGTGGTAATGGACCGCTGGGAGCCGCGATAGTCACACCCGGAAGTAGTGTGAGGACACGACACCCAGTTACCCGGACACCTGTTGGAGAGAACACCTGATTAACACATGATACACACCTGTAGTTACACACCTGTTGGGAAGAACACCTAATAAACACATGACACACCTGTAGTTATTCACCTGTCGGGAAGTAGACCTAATTAACACACCTGTAGTTGCACACCTGGTTCACTTTACTAACGGAAGAAAATGAGACTAAAATGGGGTCAAAACTACACTCAGACTCGTAACTAGACCCATCCTTTCACCTCACAGGTCGTAAGATAATTTTTTCCCTTAAGTGGTCAGGAGAGATCGAATTTACCTGCCTTAATGAACCTACGATATAAATTATTAAAACACCCAATATGGCGACCAAATTACATTGACTCTACCGCAACCAATTGTATTTTCCAAGGATCGTACGTTAAATGAACAGACTTTTCTGACTAAACTTTCTCCTACGATAAAACTTGGCTGTAGAGATTCGCTGAGACTTTACTGGACAGCAACATTCCCGTCACAACTATCACCACCATCCTCGTCACCACCACCATCCCCGTCACCACCACCTTCACTACCGCCACCACCACCAAAAGTTTGTCGTGTGGACCTTGTCACATGTTGATCAAATCTACAAAGTTTGGTGCAAATCCGCAAATCCGTTCGAGAGTTATTTTGGGGACAGACAGACGCGACCGAAAACAATATTCAGCCTTGTAGTTGGGGGCAGTGTAATAATAATAATAATAAACAGTTACAGTAGTTATAATATAGTTATTATAATAATAATAATAATAATAATAATAACAGAAATAATAATAATAATAATAAAAATAATAATAATAATAATAATAATAATAATAATAATAATAATAATAATTATTATTATAACTATTATGAAATAAAAATAAAATAATTATAATCGTAATAATTAAAAGCAATTTCGTACACACACACACACACACACACACACACACACACACACACACACACACACACACACACACACACACACACACACACAGGAAATAAATAATACTTGCTACAGTATAATAAAAATAATGATATATTTATATGCTAATGACTCTGCGTGAGTGTTGGTCACCATTATCTACTGCTGAAATATTCATAGATCTTGTTAATACACACACACACACACATTTGTTTTTGACTCTGTAACCACATAACCCCTACTAACCACCCCCCCTCACCTTACCTACCTACCACAATCCTGCCTCTCTTGCTGCAATCCCTCCCCATCCTCCCATTTCCCCCCCCTGCATTCCATCCCCCAACATGCCCCTCCTACACCACCCTCCCTCTCCACCTACCCACCCCACCCACACCACCTACTTCTCCCCCCCACCCCTACCAGACCCCTCCTTCTCCCCACCTCACCCCTCCTCCCTCTCCCTACCCCCCCACCAACACCCCTCCCTCCCTTCCTGCCCCGTCCCCACCCCACCGGACACTCCCTACCTACCACCACACCCCGTCCACCCCCACCAGACACCGCCTTACAAGCTCTGGCTGGCCCCCAAAGATTACAAACTCAATTTCGACTCCTAACTATATGATACTCGGGTTCAAAACTTCCCAATAGCGTGTTCATAATGTCGTCAGGAAGTTGGTGATGTAATTTCCACAACCACGGAGAGAGAGGAACTACATGTTATTGGCTTCCTACATTCCATTTTCTGTTTCCGAATATATTTTTATTTTTATTTTCCTTCCTCTTCTTCTTCCTCATTTTATGAGCTTATTTTGGTCTGCTTTTTTTTCGTGTTCATTTCAAAACTTGACTCTTCCCTCACTCCATTTCTACGACTCACTACATTATTAAGCTTGAGTCTTCTCTCATTCCATTTCTAAGCTTGACTCTTCCCTCACTCCATTTCTAGGCTTGATTCTCCCCACTACATTTCTAAGCTTGACTCTCCTCCCACTCCATTTCTAAGCTTGTCTCCCCTCACCCCATTGAGTCGCCCCTTTTGCTGGTCTCATCCTCTGCATATGAAATTCCCCCAGTAAAGGTAACTCAATTCAGTGTCACGCCTCTACTAAATCTACTGGCCGGCTCTAACTCTTTCTGTTTACCTTTATCTTACATTCACTCTCCCCGTTCCTTATTTTTCCACTTTTTCTCCCCCTCTCCCTCTACTCCATCCCTCTCCCTCCTTCTCTATTTTTCTCTTCTCCACTCTCTCTTTCTTCCCCTCCCCCTGTCTATTCCTACATTCAGTACTTTCTAATTCAATATTGTGGCTCCTATTTTTCCTTTTTCCCTCCCTCTCCTTCTCCTCCATTCCCACATCCAGTATTTTCTAATCCTATTTTGTAGCTTATATGTTTCCTATCTCTTGTTTCCTTGCTATTTAACTATATTTATCGAATTTGTTTTATTTCCCGTTTTCTATGTTGTCTTCTCCTATTATCGTTATATTTGTTATTATTATTGAGTTTACTTCCAATTTATTTGATCTCTTCAATATATTTCGTTTTCTGTGCAATTTTCTCTCCTATTCAACTACTGTTCCTTTTACTCTCTTCCTTCAGGTGTATGATGTAGAAGAACTGAGAAAAGAAGAGACCTGGTAGTTGTAGTATTAGTAAATATGACAAATTTTGTGACAAAAGGTACCGGTATGGCCAGCACAAGGACAGAACCAGACAATGTGATGTAGTCGTGGCCAGAATTAGACCAGGATACATACATATCTGGCAAGTTAGTGACGCTGTACCCATACCGGAACACTCAGCATGTAAACTTTGTGATAAACCTTTAAAGCATACACTTGAACACTATATTATTGAATGTGACACTGTCAAAGAATTCAGGCCACCTGACTTATTGTATCATGAACATGTAATTACTGCATTGAATCAGGAGTGTTTGAGGACATTGTTGCGGTCTATCCAAAATTTGCTGCTGGTCCACACCGATCAGTCCTCAAATAGAAAATGACTTCGACTGTATATGAACCTCTGTCCTGCGTGGCAATGAACAGTAATATCACCCACATGATTCTGACCTATATATACTATTAATGAATATGATCTATTCCTTTGTGTATGAACCTCTGTCCTGTGTGGCAGTGAATAGTGATACCACCCTCAGTGTCAGACCTGACTGAATTACTCAGAAACTATACTCCAAGCTTTACCAATAAATTTATTAACCGTTAACAACTCTCTCTCTCGTATCCACCTTTCCCATAACCAATCTTTCTTTCCTCTCTCTCTCTCTCTCTCTCTCTCTCTCTCTCTCTCTCTCTCTCTCTCTTTCTCTCTCTCTCTCTCTCCCAGAACCAATCACTCACTCAGTACCCTATATGTGGTGCTGTATTCCGCCGCACTATTGACTGAAAAAATATCCGAAGCGACGCTGAAATGTTCAAGAGTCGAAATGCTCCACTGTATTGAAGGGTAAAGTTGCTGTAAAAATATTGGAGTAATCTAAGCTGCAGTAACGTTTAGTGGATTGAATTATTACTGGAGTGACTTGATACTAGACAAACTTAAAACAGTTGTGACTTAAAACTTACAACTAGAGTAACTTAAATGGGAGTGACTTAAAGTGGATTGACTTAAAATGGGAGTGACTTAAAGTGGATTGACTAAAAACTGGAGTAATTTAAAACGAGGAGCTGGAGGAAGCGAGCGGTAATGATGGTTACAGATCCTCCTCCTACTTCTCCACCTCCTCCTCCCCTCCTCTACCTCCTCCTTCTCTACCTCCTCCTCCTCTACCTCCTCCTCCTCTACCTCCTCCCCCCCCTCCCACTCCTCCTCTACCTCCTCCTCCTTCTCTACCTCCTCCTCCTCCCTCTTCTCCTCCTCCTCTAACCTCCTCCTTCCCTTCCTACTCTTCCTCCTCCTCCTCCTCCACATTCTTTACTTCACCAACTTTCCCGGAAAGTAGATATTTCCCAATTTTTATGATACAAATTTCCCGTTTTCTATGATAATCTACTTCGCAAAATTAGGTAATATTTCCCCCAAAATTCGAAAATATACTTCCATCTATAAAAGTAGAAAATCTATCTACTTTTTCGGAAGAAATGAATAATAACTTTCCTGGAAGTAGATATTTCCCATTTTTATGATACCAAATTTCCGTTTCTGCGATAATCTACTTCGCAAAATTAGGTAATATTTCCCCAAAAATTCAATCTCGCTACGAAAGTCGATATTCTGCATTCGAAAGTGAAAATCTATCTACTTTTCGGAAAAGTAGATAATAACTTTCGGAAAGTGAATATTTCCCATTTTTATGATACAAATTTCCGTTTCTGCAATAATCTCGCCCATAAAGTGCGTGTCTTCCCCCAAATTCCCAATCTACTTCCCCGAAAAGTCGATAATCTACTTTCCCGAAAACGAAAAATGAAAATCTATCTTTTTCGGGAAAGTAGTATGCTTCCGGAAAGTAGATATTTCCCTTTTTTATGATGGATTTACATTTCTGCCGATAATCCTACTTCCAGCAAAATTAGGTAATATTTTCCCCAAAATTCGAAGAATCTCTACTTCCCCAAAGTCGATAATCTGCTTTTCCCCGAAAAATAGAAAATCTATCTGCTTTTTCGGGAAAGTAAATAACCAACTTTCCCGGATAATGAATATTTCCCATTTTTTTATGATACAAATTTCCCGTTTTCTGTGATAATCTCGCCCCATAGGTGGGTAATATTTCCCTGAACAATCTACTTTTACGAAGGTCGATAATCTACTTTCTCAGTGAAAATCTATCTACTTTTCGGGAGAAGTAGATAACCTTTCTGATAGATATTTTAACCAACTTTCCGGAAAGTAGATATTTCCATTTTTTATGATAGAAATTCACGTTACTACTATGATAATCTACTTTCCTAAAATAATTAATATTCCCCAAAATTCGAAAATCTACTTCCCGAAAAAGTCGATAATCTGCTTTTCGAAAAGTGAAAATCTATCTACTTTCGGAAAGTATATATTCTTTCGGAAAGTAGTATTTCCCCATTTTTATGATGCAAATTTCCGTTTTCATCTATCTA